GTCCGACGAGCAGCAATGAGACCCACTTTCCGCCCAGCCGGGGCATCTCTGCGGATGGTAGAGGGCTTTCCAATGTGCTGGTGATTGCCACCTCCAAAAGGATGCTCCACTGGGTTCATGGCCACACCCCGTACACGTGGCCAGCAATTTCTCTTTGCCTTATACTTGTGGTAGGCACGGCCTGCCTTCAAGATGGGCTTGTCAATGCGGCCACCACCAGCTACCACACCCACCACTGCTCTGTTGGCTGAAGAGATGACCTTCTTGGAACCAGAGGGCAGCTTCACGCGGGTCTTCTTGGTCTCGAGGTTGTGGGAAATGACAGTCGCGTAGTTTCCGGAGGCGCGTGCCAGCTTGCCCCTGTCCCCAGGTTTCTCCTCCAAGCAGCATACGATGGTACCCTCGGGCATGGTGCCCACAGGAAGCACATTACCGATGTTGAGCTGAGCTTTCTTGCCGCAGTACACAAACTGGCCCGTATGGATGCCCTCTGCTGCGATGAACAGCTCTGTCCGCTTTTTAAACCGGTACGGGTCGCGGAAGACTACCTTGGCGAGGGGCGCACCGCGGAAATGTTACCGTTTTTATTGTTATCACATGCAGATGAGTTAGAATCAACTCAAAGCTCATCTTCCAGTGTACATTCAAAGGCTATAAATTACTCAAAAGCAGTCTGACCATTTTTCTCCTGTGGAGTATCTAATAGATTTAAATCTAATAGATTTCTGCCTTGGGACTAGAAATACAGATTCTTAGGCCACCAGAGCTCTCTGATTAAATTAAATCTTCTAAAAACATAAGCCACATTGGAGAGGTCAAAATTATGGAATTGTCCTTTATTTTATGATTTGACATGATTATCTTCTGTTCTGAAAATTCTAACTACCATTTATCTGTCAGTGTTCTGTATTATGGTGACTTGCATGTTTCTATGATGCTGTAAACTACCAATATTTCAAATAACAATAAGGCTACATATGGTGAACAGGTTTCAATAGTTTTTAGCATAAGATTGAATAAAAAGCAACAGCCATCCACTTCTGAAATAATAGGCCCATGAAAAATCCTATGCAAAGCAGTGAAATATTTTCTGAGAAAGTGGTTCAGTATCATCTAGTTGAAGCTCTCAGGTTAGAAGACACTCAATAAAAAACTGGAAAAAAATTGCCTCCTTGAACCTTAATGCCATGTTGTTGTTATGGACCATCAAGTTGCTTGTGACTCATAGCAACCCTATATACAACAGCTCTGAACCTTGCTCTATCTTGAGCTGAGCTCATTGTCTCTGACATACTTACTGCCATTACCCCAGTCACTGAGTCAATCCATCTCATCAAATGTCTTCTCTTGTGCTGTTCATCCATCCTTCCAAGCATGATGCTCTTCTCCAAGGACTGGTCCCTCCTTGCAACATGCCCAAAGTATATGAGATAGAGCTGCAAAATTCTTGCCTCCAAGGAGTAGGCCTGGTTTCACCCTCCCCATCACGAACCTGTTTGTTCTCCTTGCAGTCTATGGTACATTCAGTACTCTTCTTTTGCACCACAACCCAAAGACATCAATTCTCCTTTTATCATCCTTAATCATTGACCAGCTTTCTGATGCGTAGCAAGTAATTACAATGACCATGACGTGGATCAGACACAACTTAGTCTCTAGTTTAACATTTTTACTCTTCAGTATTCTGATAGTAGATTTTCCCAATGCAATTCATCTTTTGATTTCCTGGCTGCTGGTACCAAAAGCATTGACTGTGGAGCCAAGCAAGCTGAACCAGAGCTCCATTTGTTGTTATCGTTGTTGTTGTTGTTAGGTGCTGTCAAGTCAAGTATGACCCATAACAACCCTATGAACAATAGATCTGCACCTTGTCCTATCCTGTGCTATCTTTATACTTCCTGACACACTAAAGCCTATTGTGACACTTTGTCAGGATATTCCTCTCTTTCTCCGGCCCTCCACCCTTCTAAGCATGATGTTCTCCTCCAAGGAATAGATTATTCTTGCAACATGCCTGAAATATGTGAGATGAAGCTTCAGCATCTTTGCCTCCAAGAATCACTCTAGCTACACTTTCTCCAGGACATATTTTGTTGTTCTTTTGGTAATCGATGGGACATTCAGTACTCTCCTCCAACACCACAGCTCAAAAGCATCAATTCTTTTTCTGTCATCCTTATTCATTGTCCAACAGTCAGGAAATTAGGAGACATATTGCACTAGAAAAGTCTGTAGTCAAGAGACCTCTCCAAATTATTGAGGCAGAATGATGTCAGTTTGATGACTAAGGTGCGTCTGTTTCAGGCCAAGGTAATTTCTTTCACTTGCTCTGCATCTGATAGCTGAACAATGAACTCCCTTTAAATTACAGTAAGTAGCATCATCTGAAAAGCCCACTCTTTGGTTACTTACACTATCACTATAGAAGTGCAACCACTACAGTGCTAGAAAAGCAAAGAAGGTGAACAATGTGAGATTCAGCCAGAGTAAAATCAAACTTACCCTGACTGTCGTCTAGATTATCCAAAGGATGGTAAGTCTCCTTCCTTTAAGATTCACAGCCTTGGAAATCCAGTGCAGAATCTCTATGACCCAATGAACATGAAATTGAGTTTTGAGTAAGATATTTAAAATTAGATATAACAATGCAGAATATTTCATTTGTAACATTCTATACTGCTGTTCCTAATTTTAGATTATTTCCTGAAAATCTCTAGGTTAATTTTCAAGTAACAGTAATATTTTTAAATATACCAAGAGAAGTGAGGCTTACTATACCCTGAGGTGATTTTTTCCCCTTGATTTAGAGATTTTAAACCTTTCAGTATTCTCTTGTTCTGTTTAGATAAGAACTTCTTGGTCTGAACAAAATTAAGTGTTCTAGGATTTTAATTCTTCTCAATGTTAGTGGTAATTTGTTATGATTCACACAGTTAAGTGTGTTTGCATAGTCAATACAGCATAAGTAGACATCTTTCTGGAATTATCTGCTTTCAACCAAGATCTACCTAACAGCAATAATAATATCCCTGGTACTATAGTCTCTTCTGAATACAGCTTGAATATCTGAAAGTTTCTTATCAGTTTCCAAACTATAGTCATTTTAAAATAATTTTCAGCAATATTTCACTAGCATATGATATCAGTGATAATGTTCAATAACTCTAAGGAAACAAAAGTCCTCCCCGATGTACCAACAGACAATATTGTAACTGATAGAGAAAAAACTGAAATTGGAAATTTTTAAATTTTACTTGAATCTATGTTCAGCATCCATGATAGCACCAGAGAAGAAATGAAAAGACATGCTGCATTGGGAGATACCTGCTATCAAGGACTTCTTTACAGTGTGAAAGAGCAAAGATATCAGTTTAAAAACTAAGTTGTTCCTATTCCAAGACATGTTGTCTCCAATTGTTTCCTATACATCTGAAAACTGGAAATTAATAAGAATGTTCAAAGAAGAATCAATGCCTTTAAATCTCAAAGTTAACAAAGACTCACCACTGAGCCACTAAGTAGCATTCATACTAGATGGAGAAGAGATTGAGATTGTTAATAGCTTCAGTTTGCTTGGCTCCACAATCAACACTCTTGGTACTGGCAGCCAAGAAATCAAAAGACAAATTGCATTGGATATATCTGCTGTCAGGAACTTCTCCCAGGTACTGAAGAGTAGTGATGTAAGACTACAGACTAAGGTCTACCTGATCCAGGCCATCATCTTCTCAATAACCTTGATAAGCATCAGACAGTTGGACAATGACTAGGGAGGATAGAAGGAGAATTGATGTCTTTGAGCTGTGGCGCTTGAGAAGAGTGTTGAATATACCATGAACAGCTAAGAGAATAAACAGGTTCGTCCTGCAGAAGGTGAAACCAGGCTGCTCCTTGAAGGGAAGGATTCTGAAGCTTCATCTGACATACTTTGGACAAAGGCGGAACTAGTCCTTCAAGAGGGATGTCATGCTTGAGAGGGTAGAGGGACAGCACAAGAGAGGAAGACCCTTGATGAGACAGATTGATTCAGTGACTGGAGTAATGGGGATAGGTGTGTCAAAGACAGTAAGATTCACACAGGATAGAGCAGGGTTTAGGTTGAGTTGCAGGCAACTAGACGATACATGACAACAACAACAGATGAGATGGTTTAACTCTGTAGCTTGGGTAATGGGGATAGGTGTGTCAGAGACAATGAAATTGACTCAAGATTGGGCCGGGTTCAGAGCTGTTGTACACAGGGTTGCTATGAGTTGGAATCACCTCGGCAACACATAGCAATAACAACAGTAAAAGAAGAAACAAATCTGTCTTTCAGGAGATGTAACCAGAGTACTCCTTAGAGACAAAGAAGGTTAAACTTCACCTCACAAACTTTGGACACATTATCAGAAAGGAACAGACCTTGGAAAAAGTCCTTAGAAACAGAGATCATACTGGGTAAGGTCAGGAGAAGAGATGAAGACCTTCAACAAAATGCATTGACACAGGGACAACTCAAGCATATTAGAGGTTGTGAGGATGGCGAGAAGATAGCAAGGTTCTGATATGTCACAGAATCACAGCGAGTGTCAGTGGTCTCAAAGGCACTAACAACAACAACAAAGTGCATTATTCCACAAAGCAAAGGAAAGCACTCCCCTTCAATATGATCAGTTAATCCCTAACTGGTTTGTTTTAAAAACTTGGCTTTTTATTTAGCATATTTCCTTAAAGTATGATCTGCAGAGCAGATTATCTGAGAAGCTGGGCTCTATGAGGAGAATTGTGGCATCAGGATTGGTGGAAGATCTATTAACAATTTGCGTTATGCAGATGACACAACCCTGCTTGCTGAAACTGAGGAGGACCTCATGCACTTGCTGTGAAGGGTCAAGAACTGCAACCTTCAGTATGGACTGAGCTCAATGTCAAGAAGACAAAGATTCTCACCACTGGACCAATTGGCAGCGTCAGGATGGATGGCGAAGAGATTGAGATTGTACACAGCTTCAGTTTGCTCGGCTCCACAGTCAACACTCTTGGTACCAGCAGTCAGGAAATCAAAAAGCGTATCGCGATGGGAAAGTCTGCTGTTAGGGACCTCTCAAAGGTACTCAGGAGCAACAGTGTCTCTCTGGAGACTAAGGTGCGCCTGATACAGGCCATGGTCTTTGCAATCGCTTGTTATGCATCAGAGAGTTGGACAATGACTAGGGAGGACAGAAGGAGAGTGGATGTTTTTGAGCTGTGGTGCTGGAGAAGGGTACTGAATGTACCATGGACTGCCAGGAAAACAAACAGATTCATCTTGGAGAGGATTAAACCAAGCTACTCCTTGGAGGCAAGGATTCTGGGGCTTCGTCTGACATACTTTGGACATGTTGCCACGAAGAACGGGTCCTTGGAGAGGGACATCATGCTTGGGAGGGTGGAGGGACAGCGCAGGAGGGGAAGACCCTCTGGGGTAATCGGGATGGGTGTGTCAGAGGCAGTGCAGTTGGCACAGGATAGAGCAGGGTTTAGGGCTGTTGTGCATAGGGTCTCTATGAGTCAGAAACGACTCGACGGCACATAACAACAACAACAACAT